CCTCTTCTTGAAAAAGGCTGCTGCTTTTTTATTCGATTCCTTATGATTCAAACGTGCGTTCAACTTCAGAGTACTAAAATACACTTCATCTGTATTTCCTTTGTGAAAATATCTCTTGTTTATAACACAATTTAGTATGTAAAGAATCGGGTCAAAGCCAGAAATATACTTTTTGTTAAACAGTATTTGATTTATACAGAGTTGTGATTAATATTTTTAGTCAGTCGTTTTGTTCATTTTATTGATACATTTCTTCATGTCTGTCTTTGTCGAAAACACTCCAGTGATTAAGTTACACCCAGTTGCTACAAAGGATAATACATCAATTCATGTCTTATATCCAGGGAAGATTTACTTCGTAAATTATTCGTAATCAAAATCATACCTCTCCAAGGCATTGATCTAAAATCGGAATTCCATCTTCCCTTTCCAATTATTTTGCAACATACTGTTTTGTTTGCAATACATCTTATATTATATGCACCATATAACTTCAGAATGTGTTCGATCACGAATATCCAAAAACTCCTTTGTTTTTAACTCTCACTAATCAATGTCCCTTTATCATCCTTGTTTATTCCTGTTCTGTTATCCATTCTCAGAGTTTGTTACTCACTCTACCAGCTTTCAGAATATCCTGTGAGTTAATTTCTCCAGACGTTCTTTCGTCGTTATGTCCTAGAATTTTCAACTGTTTTGTTGTGATTGTAAGTATATATTTTCTTTTTGCTATTTTTTCTTTCTTAAGACTTCCTCATTATTCACATGTTCTGCCCTTTGTATTCTTAGCGATCTTCGGTTACATCACATCTCCTTCACCTTAAATTATTTCTATAGCTGTGAGGAAATTGTTCGCCATACACTGCCATATAGGAGATTAAATATTAAGTAGCAGTTCAGTATTCATTTCTTTGTTTCTACCAAAATTTTCCTCTCCCTTAATATTGATTTTTTGAAGACCTAGACGGAAAAAGAAGCCTTCATATCATAAAAATAGTTTTTCAGTTGTAAACGGTGTTCCAATAACGTGGATCGATCATAATGTGAATTAAGTTTAAGTGTCTAATGAATTTTTTTCTTTTTCTTTCACATTTGGCGGACATTTGGACGATATTATTTTTCACTCAGAATTGCCATGACTTAAATAATATGATTCAATAGAGAAGTAAATAAAATTTCACCAATAACACTGATTTATTTACTGCTGACTTTGATCCGTCTTAATGAAACACCATTATATATAATATGTCTTAATGAAACACCATTTAGAAAGAAAATCTCACGATTCATTAGTTTGCTATTTTTTTAAGAATATATATATATATATATATATATATATATATATATATATATATATGTATTAAATTCTGATTTTAAACGCACGTTGCTTTAAACACCAGCGGCATTGTTTTGACAGGGATGACACTCTTCATTAATTATGCGGAACACACCTGGTTTTAGTTGAAACATTTGGGTCAGAATTTTGATCGACTGTGAACGTCTCTGTAAGATAATGTTGAAAATAAGAGGACTGTTCAACAACTAGAATTTGCAATTTACCGTTGAAAGTCCGCGCAAAATTGCTAATGATTGCATTAATACGAATCCGTTGATATTATACCACAGACGTGATACTCTCGACATCAATTTTAACGACACGGCCATTCTCTTGACGCCGGCTTTCGTTAATAATAGATGTTAAGGTGCGTTTGTAAATGCAGAGTAAAGCTGGGAAATATTCAGCTAAAAATTTAAGCGAGGAGATCTCTAGTAGGGAAAGCAAAAATGGAAGCTCTGAAAGACTGGAGTTTATAATAATGGGTGTTGAGATTACACTACCAGTAGTAGAAGTTTGTGGGAGAAAAGTGTTGGCTGTATTTAAAAAGAATCGCCTTCCGATAAGATTTTGGGTTATATTATGCTGTTGATCTGTTGTCTCCCTGATTTGTTTTATATGCCCTTAGGGTCATAATCTCGGTGAAGTTAACGTCGCAGAAGACCATGAATCTGTTGGCGATTGTCTGCTGTAGAAATAACTAATAAGTCGTGTGTATGAATATATATATGTGTGTGTGTGTGTGTGTGTGTGCGTGCGTGTGTGTGTGTGTTTACGGGTGTGAAAAGAGAGACAGATAAAATTGGAAACGCCCTAAACCAAGCTTATTCAAACATTGGTCTCACCCTCCGACCTCTTCCCTGATCCATTTTTTTTTTCAGTTCTCCGCTTACGTTTCGACTCCCAAGTCTCCTTAAATTTGGCATCAGCTTCCAATAAATGACAGAATATATATTAACGCCAACAGTTAAAATCTTCAATTTTCCTTCAGCGCTGGTGTTTCTACGCTCGATCGACCGTTCGCGTACACGTGACTGCGCCGTCTTAGCTGCCGCCATCTTTGCTAGGATCTCGATCGAGATGTCAATAATAAGCAGATACGAATTTCGAAACATCGTATTGACGAAAGCAGGACATAATAACTATCAGTTTAATGGTAGAGAA